TCCACCTGCCGAGACTTATCCCCTCATTACACGAGCTTTAAAGACTCTCAAGGTGCTCAGCATTGCAAAGGGTATTAATTCCTGTTTTGAACTTATGAGCCTTCACAAGGAAGTTTCCAGCAGGGCAATCTTAGACATGCCTGTTTTGTAAACAACAATCGCCTGGCATACTGAGAGGGAAGGGAGAGAGGTTGCTGCTTTTTTTGAGTCTTCGTAGCATTTATTTCTCTCCTTTTTCCCTCTTCTCCTGCCTGCTCTGGTTGGTTATGGAGTTTGCCGAGGATGTGCCGAGCGTGGCAGGGTGGGGCGGCACGGCGCAGCCCAGAGAGTGGATCTTGTCCGCTCCTTGCAGGGTGGAACTCAGCACCGTCGGCTCTTATGCAGCCTGACATGAAAATTATGTTTGCATTTTCATTTCCCCAGCTCAGCTGGTGTGTCATTAAACTCAACCTGACAGTTCCTTACCACCAGGCAGGAGCAGGGCCGGTCATCCCCTCCGCCGTGTAGGACAGATGCTAGCCAAAGAGTCGGCCGACTCTTCCTGCGCCCGCAGATTGCAAGCGACATATGCCAGGACCGGCGCGGGGCCCCTGCTTGAGCGCTTGTGTCACCGCCCCGCCCTGGGCCTGCGCTGTGACCTTTATGGCATCAGATACAGTACTTGTAACAAAAGATGAGACTTTGCAACGATGGGGGCTGCAGTATAGAACATCCTACATGCCTCTGAAAACATCTCTCGTTATGATTGTCTGCAAGATAAACTCTGAAACTCCAAGTTTCATATGCAACATAGCTTAAAGTCAACATGACATAAAAATGGACACAATTTACTTTTTTTTTTACACTTTCCTGGTGTTTGTTTTGTTTTGTTTTTTTATTCCAAAGAAAAAAATTGTTTGGCCCAGGATGTTTCATCAAAATGGCCTGATCTTCCTCTGAAAAGTATTTACTTTTCTGGGTTATGTCATTTTGGGTGCTTTCACACTAGCACTTTTGGTGCACAGCAGGTTTCGATTGACGTCAGAATTCGGTTCGTTTAGATGATGTTAACGCTGTTTTCCGAACTTGGGTGCGCACCCACGAACCACACCCGATTCCACATAAAACGAGTGGTCTGGGGTGCGGTTCATGTAAACTCCAGTACACTACGCTGCTGATATGAACACAATTGGACTAAATCGTGGAAGTGAACCGCTAAATAAAAATGTTATGTTTGTGTGTTCTCACTCACTTTCCTGATAAGCGTGACTGACGCATTGTAAGCTGAGATATATCTCATTTCTGCTTGCCTTTTGCACAAATAAACTTCTGCGTTCTTTAGAACATTTGCAGTGCGTTCGCGGCAAATAGACACAAGTGCCGTTATGTGCTGACGCTTTGGAAACAAAACCAAAAGTTCAAAAACCAAAATATAAAAGTTAGTGGAGTAACGCTAAGCATTTTGCTGCCTTCTCCTGCATCGTCGTTACCATGCAACGTATAAACAGCTGCTGCTTGATGATGCAAACGCACCATGGTTCAGAAGCAAAAATATAAGGTGAACACTATCCAGAGGGGGATGGGAAGCCATCAAACTCTGGTTCGGACCAATCAAACAAAGTGTGAAAACATCCTTAGGGCTTCACAGGCTATTGCATAATGATAACCAATAACATAATACCAACGTTTTAAGAACCCAATCAAGTCCCACACACATTTAAAAATATATATATATTTAATTAGTTAAGTAGGCTAAATAATTGTAAATATTTATTCAAATATTTGTTTATTATTGAAATATTGTGATATTAATTTAAAAAATAGTATTAAAATACTGCAATATTAGTTAATTTAAAAATGTAATATTAAAAATATTGTAATATTAAATATGAACTTCACAAATATTGGTTACTATTTTTTCACTCAGAAATACAAAACATTACGGAAAGAAAATGGCAAATCATGCATTCAAAACATCAGTTAATATTCACTTTAATAGCTTAAAGGTTGTTTGCTTTGTCACAAATGTATCTTGATTCTCCCAGAATGCTATGCCTACAGTTAGGCGTTCATCTGCAGTTGACAAGATGGTAATTACTGATCAAAAATGATCAGCTGGCAGCATTTATTTTTTACGGAAGGAATTATGTGATGGGAAACATCTGTAATTTGTTGTTTAACTATTTGGTAAAGCCTCAAGATTGCTAACATCTGTTTGATCGGTTTCACTGGTTTTCATCAAATTGAGTGTCAAGGATAAAATGATGACTTATCAAAGCATTCTCTTTTCCCCAGCCAAATTCCAAATACCATAATGATCCTTGTGAGGTTGTTCGGATTTGGGCAGTATGTTCGTCATCGGTCTTGGGACGAGAATCCAACATTTGACTCTTAAAATGGATCCGTGATGTGGAAACACTGAACAGGCAGCTTGATTTTCATCGCTTCGTTTAAGTCCAGTCCCTTCACTAATCACCTCTTTTGTTTTTTGTTTCTTTAATCATCTCCTGCTTATATGATTATCTTCATCATCCTTTTTTTTGCTTCTAACTGCTGTTAACTTGACTTTTCTTCCTCTCTGTCCTTGTGTAAGTGTGATGTACTGTCTTTCTGCTGTCTATCTCACACTCATTCTCTCTCTTTTCCTTTTTGTATCCACACTTTGGTCTCTGCGTTCCCCTCAGCCAAATATAAGTTTAACGGATATGTCAGATCACGTAAGTGTACTTCTCTGTTTTCCTCATTCCCCCATTCGTTCGTGCAACCTGCCTGCTTTGGCTCTTTGCTTTTGATTTTACCCCCACTAGCATTACAGCACAAAAGCTGCCATCCTCAGCTCTCTGTAGATTACTGGGGATTGATGGGAAGGGGGGCCGTGATGACAGTTTCTCAGCACTGGGTTCTGGTCAAATGCATCAGAGGGGCTGCTCGACTTTAAAACATGTGCATGAGAAAGGTCAGGTGCTGAATAGAGGCATCCATATGAAATCCAGATGTTGCATAAAGAGCTCCGTGTCCTTGCGAGGGATGATTGAAGAGCTAGAAATGCTATGATGTATTGCACGCATGTGTGGAGTCTTAGATACGTTTCTGTGTTGTGACGCCACCGACAGCAGATGGCGCTACAACTCCAGGGAAATGGGATCGGGTTCACATGCAGCTAAATTTGTTTTAGGTAAATCAGACGCCAAACTAATGCTGAGAGAGGTTTAGCTTTATTGCTATTAAGTTTCATTTCATGTGTAACCGTTTCGATGTGTTTTAATGTTATATGTTAGCGTTTCATACGTATTTGCATAATTAATAGGCTGAAGTGAGTGTTTATTGTTGAAATGTTTTGTTATATTTTTGCATTCAAAGGACAAAAAATGATTTTAATTGCAAAATAATACTAAAAAAAAGAAAGAAAAAAAATTAGGACAATTAAAATGATTGCAAGTGTATGTATAGTGAATTTATTTATTTATTTAGAGACACCATAAAATTATATAAAGTTTCAAAATGGATTTTCTCACAGATGTGCTTTCTATAATTTAACAATGGCCTTGATAAGAATGCACAATTGTGGCTCGTCACAGGATTTGCATTTCATAAAGGGACAGTTGCCGTCTGGATTACTGTAAATCCACAGTGAAAGTGCCACAGCGGATGTTCTCTGTATAATGCTACTTGTGTTTGACAGGGGCCAGATGAATCCAGGAGTTATCTGTGGCGGCCTTTAAATCTATGCGGCAGCTGACGGCAGAAATAACCATCTATTTATTGCTCTGAGCAAGGTTTGGGGAGCGGGCGGAAACTGCTTTTCCACTTACACCAGATATTGGTTAACCTCTTGCCTTTTATGTAGATAGCATTAGGCTGGAGTCTTATGGCTCGGGTGGCAGGCGGTGAGCTTGATAACTCCCTGTGTGAAACACTTCAGGTCCCTTATACACACTGCATACTCCCGTCTGTCAGACAGCAGATTGTTTTTTATTTTGGTCCTTTTCGCAGCTTAATCTAAGACATTTTCGTTTGTTGTATGAAGTATTGATTTTCACACATTTTAGATATGTTGTTTTAACACTGCTTTGCCGTATATTGAGGCAGATTGTAAAGAGATTGCCGTGTTCCCTTGTGCAAGCACATCCCTACCTGCACTGTGACCTGATTCATTCTGACGGTTATCAGGAATAATATGTTCATGCTTTGTTCTGTCTTGTCGCAGAGCAGGCAGGGAAGAAAGTGCTTCTAATTAATTAATGTTTATTAGCAATGGAAAAGCAATTGTCATATTGAACATTTCACCTAAAGCGCTTGGCAAGTGGTTAAGTAGTGTTTTATAAAACTTGAGGGGTCATCGTCAATTATTCAAAAATACGCCGGTTACCTTTATGGCACACAGATTTGCGGATCTGTCTGTAAATGGTAATCGAAAGGGTGAAATAAATGGCTTAACAATGAAAATCATGTCAACTTGTATTTTCATACTTAAATATTTATGTGATTCTCATGCAGTTCAGTGATAAATTATGAATGCTGCAGTGTTTTAATCATAATATATTTAGTTTAGAAGCACTAATGGCATGTGCTTTTAGACGACTTGTATCGCAATTTTAAATCTTATTTAAAACTATTTTACATTTTGTTATTATTATTTAACAAGGCACTTGGTTTTCATTTAAAGTTGATGCCAGTATGTTTTCAATACATAGAAACTTAATGATATTTTTGCATTAATATTTCATTGATACTTTGAAAAAAATTATACTGAAAAGTATATTTAATTTTTTTTAATGTTATTACATTTTGTTTGATGCTTAAGCCACATGACATTTTTACATTATGAGTCATTACATTAAAAAAAAAATCCCCCCCCCCCAAATCCATATGAAACTAACATGAATACAAAGAATATAATTCTAAGATCTGTAAAATATATATATATTTTTTTTTTTCGTGAAACCTGTTAATAGTATACAGTATGTCACTGACCAAAATCACAGTCATCTCTCATTGTTTTGTCTTCCACTGTTTGACAGTAAAGGAGGAAGTTAGAGCGACTTTTCAAAACCCCTCGATCGAACTGGCCAACAGCATGGCTGTTCCCAACACTCTTCCCAGTGTGCTGCCGGTTGTGGGGTGCTCCACGACTGCCGTCCCTCTTGTTAATAACCGTAAAGGAAGTCTGCTCCCTCCGGCACCGCCCTCACAGTCACGCCTCAGCCTGGCTGGACTGAACCGGGCCCGCAGCCTGCCCGGAAAATACCGCTACCGCTACCGCCCCAGCACCTTGTCCTCCACGCTCGTGCCCACGCACTGTAGGTTGTGCTTTAGGACGCATAAGTCAGTGCTACCGCAAACAACCCCTTTCTTCCTGCATGGGTCCCTGCAGTCACTGCCGCGTGCATGTAGAGCAGCTAGTGGCTAATGTACCCCCTGCCCCAGCACTAAATGTATGGGTGTGTGTGTGTAATGTGTGTAACCACAACTGCCATCAATGGGAGTATAGAAGTACCAGAATAGATAGATTACCCATTATATACCGTGGGATACAAGACCACTAATTAAAATGTTGTTTTGTTTTTTTCAGTGCATTTGTTTCTATTCTATTTTCTTTTTTCTTTCTCATTTCTTTTTTCAAAGTATGGGTTTATTTCCAGGTTTAAAATATATTATCAGTGTGGTCTCAGACTTTTAGATCTCATTGTAAACTCGTCGTCATAGACACCCCAAGTTACAAACAAAGTCTTCAGGACTGTAATGTTTCTTATTTCTCTTGTATCTCTGTTGTGCGTTAAAGCTTGCATCAGCCAGTTGTCTTTCTGAAGCAGAGGAGACAGATGTCTAGCTCAATCGTTCTGATCGGCGACACAAAAAAAGCGAGAGCTATAGGTGCCCGTGGTATGGAACAGCAATCACACTTTGGTGGGCTGATCCTATTTTGATTGAGGTTGTAAAAGTGCCGTAATGTAATTTGGAACAAGCAGAGACTTGCTGAAATGGCCGTGTTGCAGGTGGAGTTATTTCATTGTTAAGCCTCTTACTGAAGGGCACCACTGTAGCTCGTAAATCTCCGCCGCCTAATTTGGAGGAGCAAGGGCAGGAGAGAGCGGTCCGGCCCAGCCAGGCCACTCGCTCAACAACCATAGTAAAGAACAAAGGGCCACTGCACCGCTGTCTTATCAGTAGTGATATTTTTAAAGTTGATTACCGTCTCACATTGCTCCCTCCACAGTGTAATTTCAAATGTCAAGCACTGGCATTTGGTGAAGACACAGACAGCGTCTTTTTGTTTAATTTGTCTTTTTTCATTAGAACAATTAGATGACAAAGGGAAATCAGAGATATACAAGTATATGTGTTTGCAGTATTTGTCTCTAATATTTTGCAGTGCTGCTGATGGATTTCTAACAGTGCCACTCTATAGCAAGTTTGCAGTGTTTTGGTGTTTGGGTTTCGGTACTAGTTTGTCTCTAATACAAATCAGAGCAAAATGTTGTGTTCAGTACCTGGTATCATACTCAAATACTCATTGCTATGCAGAAAAAAAAACTGAATAATACAGTATAATATAAATATAGTAGTGCAGCATAAGAAATATTAAATAATTTCCAAAATGAAAAAAAAAAACATTATGTACTGTGGTATACATGGAAATTGAGGTACATGCAAAATTCCAGGGCTGAAAACATTTATTAGTTTTTATTGCATCATATTGAACAATTTCTCCCCTACTTAAAGGAACAGTTCACCAAAAAAATGTTTTGTCTCTTTTTCTGTTTAACAAAAGGAGAAATTTTGAAAAATGTCCATGCTTTTCTGTTTCATGCAGTGACAATTCAAAGTGACCACAACTGTAAAGTAAAAATAAAATAAAGTTTCATTTAACTTGTTTAATTTTACTCCACCACTCACAAATCTCATTTGTGTTCATGTTCAATTCAGATATGGTAAACATTTTGATGCGTGGGCCAGAATTTGACGCTATTGTCATATGAAAAAGAGGACCATGGACATTTTCATAATTTCTCCTGGAAGAATAAAAGGTTTGGAAAATGAAGGTGAATGAATGATGACATGTTCATGGTTAGGGTGAACTATTCCTTTAAGTTAAGCTATAGTTTTCAAATAATTTACATTAATGTATTCATATCATCTTTGAAAGTTTAAGGAGCTCAACCTTCATACAGCTTCAAAGCTTACACATGATGTGTTTATAAAGCGGAGAGCTTGTGACATTCACAGGTCCCTCAGTAATGTCCTCTTGGAGAGGCGTTTCAGAATGAGAAGGCTCAGTTCAGGGTGCTTGTTCAGCGCTGAGAGTGCTTGTGGTACGGGGGACAGACTCACAGCGGAGCCATCACTCACGGCTCTCTGAGTGATGAGGATTGATTTTGCCATGTAGTCATCCATTAAAAAACACACACCAAATTACTCTTCTTTTTCTTTTTTCTTCCCCTCTGTCATTGTTCGAGCTCATGCCCTCCAAACAATGACAGAGGTAAAAGAGAGTTTGATCACATCGATACAGATTGAAACAGATCCGCACATCTCGTTGAAAAGCAGAACTCATGAGATTTCATGGAAAACAGGGTGTAAAACTTAATGGTTGTCCTTCAGATCTTTACTTGCTGTCTTTAAGTGTACTTTTGTCCATACTAACACTCTTATCTTTCTATTTTTGGAGGTCTTCTCAGATTTGAGTGTTTTTTGCAATGATTGATTGAGTGTTGGCTTTTGTGTTCTTTAGTATGTCATCTCCAGCACACTTTACAATCCCAGCTGTCCACAGTCTGACACTCTTTGCATGTGTTTGCAGTCGATGATGAGCATCCGTCAACACTGTCACCCAAAAAGAAGCAACGCAACGGAGGCATGCGAAATTCACCCAACTGCTCACCCAAAATGACGAGGTAAGACATTGATTTCAAGACGCTCCCTCCACCCTTCAAAAGAAAAGAGAGGCAGAGACAGGACGGATGGTGCTGGGATGGTGGGAGAAGGAAAAAGAAAGTGTGGAGGGAGAGAGAGGGGGGAAGGGGAGAGCAGGCCTTTCAGGCCGAGGCGTTTGAGCTGTCAGCCTGTCAGCGGTTAATGATAGAGCTGAAATATTTCTGTCATGAAAGCAGCTATGAAAAGCTGTTTGAAAAATACTCTTGCTTTAAAGTCTCAGCTGTCATCTCCCCCCAGTCCCATCCACATGTAGTTCTTAAACAGCGGTGGCACTAATGACGGTGCCAACCAATCAGAGACGCCAGCATGGTTACTTAGCCTCGGGGCTCTTCATCTATTGTGGGAACCCCTGTGAGGAGTGTTTTTCGTACTTAAGGCCATATGTGAAATGTATCATCGCAATCAAAAATGAATTCAAATATTACCTTCCTTTTATCCTGTCCGCTAGAATTATAATGCTGCTAATTGATTTTGACTGATAAAAGGACTTGCTTTCCGCCCATGTGGCCAGGAGACGTTTATGCAGAGGTTGTAAAAAATGCAGAGACAATGCCCTCCTTTGCACATCATAATGTGAGAAAGTGTTGCTGAAGGTCTGGAGGAAGGGGCAACTTTCTGCAAAGTGATAGCCAACATGCTTGATATTATTTGTTTTCACATTTCGAAAAATCAGTTAGTCACTTTCTCTAAGTTGTTATATAATATAATGCCAGCATGATGTTGCAGGCTTATTATTACTTTAATAATAGTTGTAAAATGTAATATTTAAATGAATCTTTTACATGAAACAGCAGTTTTAATTGTATTTAATTTTCAGTCTAATATTTACTTTTAATTGAATTATAAAAATTTTTTATTTAACATTTTATTGTTTTGTTTAAAAAATAAAGATTTTTATTTCATTTTATTTTGTTTCTTTCCATTTGTGTGCCACCCACAAGGCATTTCGCTGTAGCGTATAAAGAGTAACCCAGACAGAGGTCTCCAACATTAATCTCTCCCCAAAAGAAGCAATTATGTTGAGTTGTACATACTGTAAACTGCCAGCCCTGCAGAGGATCTCGCCCTTTAGTCTGCTTTCCAAGTGAAAATGATCAATGTTCAATTGTTTCTTTTCGCTCTCAGTTTTAAACAATAAACTGTGAGAGGAATGAAAAAAAAATAGCTTTCAGCGATTGCTCAGAAGGATCTTTTTATTCCTCAACTTACAGCACAAAACTGTTTTTCTGAGCAGATTTGAAGGTCCCCGTTTGCCATGTAATGTATGCATCGGCTCTTTGATCTACAAGTGATAATAATTCTTGGGAGTTATTTACCCTGTTTTGAAACGCTTCAAAGCGGTGTCAAAGTTTTCTGTGCTTTAGGGTGCCTGTGTGTTCAGCTGGCTCTTGGGTACTGGATGACAGGTCCTCTGTTCTAGGTGTAAGCTTTTTCAAGCCAAAGCCCTGCAGCGAAACATCAAAATTACCAAAGACAGACCTGTGGACTCCCTCAACCTGTGCCCTGCTTGTCAATATATTACAACATACATTAAATACCTCGCCTTTACAAGGTGCGTTTTATGCCCAATGAAAAGCGATTGTTTGAGGGAGCCTTAGGGATACTTTATTCAACAAGCAGGAAAGGGAAAAACAGCCAGAGTATACCATATCAAGTATGGTTTTTACAGGGTTCTGCGCCTCCAGGCTGTCGTAAATAAATAATGATCAACAGATTGGCTGTGGGTTTTTGAAAAGTATGCCTTTGTCAGTTTGCATGATAGGGAAAATTTTCAAAGCGAGGAGCTGCTTTCATAGGCTGCTGGAGAGGGATTCGGGGAGCCAGTGACTGCCAAGTGATGCGCTGGAATAGCTGAACGCTGTTTGAAAAGCAGCTCGCCCGGCTCTCAGGGCAACTTCTGTTCTCTCTCGCTCTCTCTTTCCCCAAATGCACGACTAGGACGCTCCTCTGGACATACCAATTAAATGGGGAACTTTTTGTCCTGCTTAGGGTACCCGATCATTTCCTATAAAGTTCTCTAGCCCTTTTATTTTTAGCTTAAATGTCTATTTTAAATGAAATAAATGTATTTCTGGGTGTTTTAGTTGCAAAAGTTGATTCAGAATGTCTGAAATATTACACAAGAGGAGACACAACACGTCTAATTGTGGGAAGTCACAATGCATTTCTCGGGTTCCCTAGCAGCAGCGAGTAACGTCACATATTTTAGTGGCATAGTGGCATGGCGCGTTGGATTGTGCTTGTGACTGGCAGGCAGCTCTGACAGCGGGTGAGAGATAGCTATCTTGGCAGAGGTGCACTGCGCCAGTCAGTATGTTGAGGGGAGATTGAAATGACAGAGGTCCATAGAGTGAGTGGTGAAACATGCGCCACGTAATAAAATATTCAGTCAGGGTGTAAAAGCACTAAATGCTTTCACTCTTATTAGCACCTGCACACAGTCTGATATCATCTCATGCACGCATGCTAATTGACACATTTCTGATGTGATATTTTAGCAATCAAACACAGTCTAAGCGGCGCGTTTCACTGAATTAACCTGCTTAGGAAGGTGAGAGAGGAATAGAGGGAAAAAGTAATTATGAGGTTTGTAAAATGACTAGAATTTCCAGGTTTTTACTACCACAAATCTGTTGTTGCATTTTGTCTGTGAAGTCGTTGAATATTGAAATTAGTATTTGTGCTTCACATAACCATGCAGTTATTTTAAGTGTAAATTAATTTTCCGGAATATTATCTGACATTATGCAAATATGGAAGGTGAGGCAGAGGTCCCATCATTCATTATTAGAGTGATTAACAAGGGCCTAATGCAATTTACAAACCTCATTTAGTGCTGTGTTAATTACAGGGTGTTGCAGAACAAGGCATAACAGGCACAGTATTATTATGTCAGTTAAATTACATCACATTCATGAGATAAAATAATACACCCTGGTGTTAATAAATAAATACCTATTCATTACAGTGCTAAGTCCTGTAATTTATTGGCTGTGCTCTATATTTAAGCTTCAGACCATCAAAACTTATAAAGCTGAGCTGTTTCGTGTAATAACATTTTATTTATCATAGATATATTATATATACATAATCAAATGGTATCTTGTCATTATCAGACAGGACTAGTAAAAAAAAATAAAAAAATTGTTGAAATCCTTTGTGATTGGTTGTTAATCTAGCTCTGTGGATAATACTATCACAATAGCTGGGTCGAGCAGACTCTGAGAAAGCATGTTCCCCTGCAGCCGTGTCTTAGAAATGGGGCTTTGTTGTCTGCCCCGAGGCCATTTCCTCAAAGGCAGCCTTTTTGGCCCATCTCAGGCCCGGTAACATGCTGCACTGTGGGTTTTAGTTGACAATTTTATGCATTTACAAGGGTTCTGTGGTCTTTCACAAAAACTGCCCCTGAAATCGTGAGTATCTATTCAAGAGTCACTGAGGGAAAACAAATTGTAATATACCTGAACTAAAATACACCCATAGCACAAAGAAATGACTCTTATATTGCTATCTAAATCAGATATTGTGAATATTTAATACATTGCCTATCCCTAGTAGTTATTTTAATAATTCAAATTTATTGGCAAATTTTTTTTTGCTATATTTTTATCTGCATAAATTTCAGCTACAACGGGCTGAATATTTATGCAAACAACAGATTTTATTTCTTTGTTTTAAAGAATATTATATTGCAGTAATTAATTTTGAGTTTCATTGTTTTTGCATTTATGATAGAAAACAATTTGAAATTCAGTCAAAAGCGATAATATACATTTTATATATCTGATAATATACATTAGAAAAAGTGATTGGTGTTATATATTCTTGTATTGAGTATATTAAACTGTGCAGGCGTGTCTGTATTGAATACTACCAATAATTCTGTATTTGAGGCAGAGAATGCAACCATAACAAGCTCAAAACAGCACTCCACTATATGTTTTTGAGTTGCTATTCATACCAAACAACCCTAGACCAGACATCAAATGAACATGGCCGCACATTTGGTTTGTGAATTCTGTTTTTCAGTTGTATAGTTCAACTACTGAGCTGTTTAGAAAGCTTTCAAGGGAGTTCACTAAAATGAATGCGAGCTGTACCCGAGTGCTGGGACTTCTTTCACGGTCAACATGCTCCTCAGATCAGCTTCAGCAGGGCGCGCTGATATAGGTTAGCCTGTTTGGACGTGACATGCTGCTGAAACATTAATGGCCTTCAGTTTGGGGGAGCAAAATGTGATTGGGCAAATTCCTAAAATATTTAAAGTGCGCCTCTGTTAAAGCTTTTACCGTTGGACGCATCACGTCAGGAGTGATGCGGAGTAAAAGCCGGTAATTGGCGTTCCATTCTGGTGCCACTCAGTCACTGAAGTGCTCCGGCTCCATCTCTTCCACTCCAGTGCTGTCACCGGCGCGGACACTTTGATGACTCTGCAGTCTTGGCAGCCTGGAGAGAGCGGCAGTTATGATGGAGTCCAATGCACAAATTCAATCTGACAATGACAAGCCATGTCAGCACAAGGCTGTTTACTGCTTATTTATTGTCGATAGACGTCTATTGAGATGTGAGGAAAGTTTGTCCTTTGACAAATGTCACAATTAAGGCCAGAAGATAAATTCCCACTGTTGAATTTTTACTAACCTGCATTTGCAAATAGGGCCAGCGAACATGTTTTCTTCTTACACGTTTTCTCCTCCTCGTGCTCTCTTTTCAGACATGACCCTCTGCTCATTCCGGGAAACGAGCAGATTGAGAACATGGATGCTAATGTGAAAAGATACGACTCTACTGGAATGTTTCACTGGTGTCCATCCAAAGAAATTGAGAAGGTCATTCTGGTAGGTATCTTTCTAACTGCAGTGTGTTATAAGTCACCTAGTCACAAGAATTTTACCTTTATTGTTTCAGAATTCAGCACATTTTGAGTGCAATCTTAAGAACTGAGAGTGAAATAATACCATATTTACATCATATAATATTCATGCAATGTTCTTGTAGCACTATGATATCACTGATTTTGTCCAGTTGAAAACAAACAAAAAATACATAAAAACTGTTCACATCTCATTTCATTATCAATCATGCTCAAATTTAATGCTGAATCCAGTGTTTTAAAAGCAGTATTATTAAATCTCGCATTTGTTATTTTACTTTAAGGGAAAACAGAATAATATCATGTTCTTTTACACACACAAAACTAAATGAACGTCATATATATGAGAAATAATAATAAAAAAATAATAAGATTAACAAAATGAAGACTATATATATATATATATACAGTGTATATATATATATATATATATATATATATACTATATATATATTAATAAAAGAATATATAAATGTTAATATTAACATTTTTATCAGGCTCCTATGTATAGGTTTCTACCCAAGTACCGGCATTTCTGAATGGGCTGAGGCTGGGTTTTAGTGAGTTTGAAGTGAAAGTATTTGATATGTGTATATACTATGTGCGGAGAGCATTCACTCAGTATTATTATCTCATTTTTGCATCGGAGGTCTTCAAATAATAAACAATTAATAAAATGTGTATAATTTTTAGTATTATAAATTTGTCATGTTGTCACAATTTGGGAATAATTACACAGAAATCACTAATGATTCCTCAAAGTACCCAGGGTCACTGTAGTTTTGAATGTATTTGCAAAGTGTGACATGTTTAGTTAGTGTGTATGTTGTACAGTCAACGGACATTTCATATATTTGCACTTTTAGAGGCACAATTACTGAGTCAACATTAAATAAATATCTATGAAACTAAAGACAGTTATACATTTTAGAATTGTGCATATGTATGCTCATTGTTACAATTTGCCATTTTGAGCAAGTGCATTATATATTTACCCTGTAATCAAAGCTCTGAAAAACATTTGTGTTCAGACTTCAATCAATTAAATACAGCTTTTGCATTTTCTGCCCTTTTCAATTTTAGCTTGCAGCTTGTTTTGTTTTTTGAATGGGTGGCAATATATGAGCTCTTATTCTATTCTTGCTGACGAGATTGTAACTGTCTTGTTTGTTTCTGGCTTTTTCACCACAGACACGCAGCGAGGCCTCCATGACGGTTTTAAGTGGACATGTAGTAGTCTGTATATTCGGAGATGTCACGTCAGCTTTAGTGGGGCTTCGAAACTTGGTGATGCCTTTGAGAGCAAGCAACTTCCATTACCACGAGCTAAAGCCCATTGTGTTTGTGGGCTCATTAGATTATCTGAGAAGAGAGTGGGAAACCCTTCACAACTTCCCCAAAGTCTCCATCTTACCTGTGAGTATACACGCATTGTAAATGAGCCTAGAGCTTTTACACCTGGAGAAAACAAGCTGTCTGTAAACGTTATGCATTCATGTGACTCAAGGAGTAAGACTTTATTTTGCAGCAGATGTTCCCTTTTACAAGCTTTTTGCATGGAATAGCGCCACCACAATTTGTTTTCAAGTGTTGATGTTCTGGCGGCAGGTTCCTGTGGGTCGTGTGAATCTCAGGCTTTGCTTCCTGCTCTAGTGCTTGTTAGCATCGCCTTGACTGAGTATGAAAAACGAAGCCAAAAAGCTGCCGTCAGCAAAGGCTAGCCTTTAGATTAGACTACATCTCTTCTTCCCTCAGCGCATAGTTAGATCAGCTGAATGTCACTGCCTTTAGAAAAGTAAATACTTGTTAACTAATTTCCCTGAGCTCTGTGCCGTCTTTAATTTGTTTTTCTCTTTCTTCCTCTCTCTCCGCTGAAGGGTACGCCATTAAGTCGAGCTGATTTAAGAGCCGTCAACATCAACCTCTGCGACATGTGCGTTATCCTGTCAGCCAATCAGAACAATATCGACGATGCTTCACTGCAGGACAAGGAATGCATCTTGGCGTCTCTTAACATCAAATCTATGCAGTTTGATGACAGCATTGGGGTCTTGCAGGCTAATTCCCAAGGTAAGGAGTGGCCAAGAATACTTCAGCACATAGAGAATACCTCTCAAGAGCTTCAGACTGTGAAACCAGCACTTTACTGTGTGCTTTCAAAGACAACAAGGTCCAATTATATGCCCAAATGGTTTAATAAAACAAGGGGAGACATGAATTATCAAAGAATAAAAGCACGACTGACATTTCAAATGTTTGTTCATTAGGAAAGACAATTAAACAGTCATTTAGACACTTTATGCAAACATTAAATGTCTATGAAACTAAAGACTGTTATGCATTGAAGAATTTGCATTTCGTGCATATGTATATCCATTATTGGAAAATGCATGCAATTCTGAGCACGTGAATTATATTTTTCCCTTTATTCAAAGCTCTGAAAAAACCCCATCCCTAACGTTTTTGTGCAGATTGCAAATTTGCCTCCGATTGCTGGACCGCAGCAGATTTGTTTGCCGACAAATTGACTCGAACAGATTGTTTATGCATTCAGATAAACATGTAACCCTCTTGTGCCCATCAGGATTCATCATCATTAAACAGACTGTACAAATCAGCAGCTTCACTCTCTCAGCTGCTCTTCATTACGTAAATTATACACCCCGCACAAGCTGGCCCACAACAATTAACATTTCAACCATTATTGAGTATCTACTTTTTGCACAGAAAGATGGATTTAAAGCTTCAAAATGACAGCTTTCAGATGAAATGTGTCCAATATTGTCCCAAAGGCTCGCGCTGAACAGTGTGTAGTGTTGAGGAAGAGCACATCCCTCTGCTGTGGATGATAATAGATGGTAATCATACTCTTTGTGCACGTGAAGAAAACGTCATTACCAGGCCCGGAATAAATCTGTTTGAATTGTCTGTGCTGATTTAGAGGAATTCTGATTTCAAAGTGGAGTTGAAAGTACTTCAACCTTATTAGTGACTGAAAGCATAATCAAATTAGCCAAAATATTATGTGTAGAAATTTGTGACTGATTTCTAGTCTGTGCACAGATTCCATGAGTGCTTGGTCATTACTACTCTCTCAATTTGTTTAACTGAACATCTGGCATGATCAACAGCAGAGCAATGTTGTGTAATAAAGAATTATTTCATTAGCACAGTGTATTAGAACATAATTTATCCCGCAATGAACAGTTTTCTTGTTCTCCGTTCATTCCCAAGAAAACTTTTGCAGCAATAAAAATAACAAATTATTCATGTTTTTTCCCCCAGATTGTAGTTCCAACTTGGCAAATATGTTGTTTTATTATTGTTTATGTTACATAATTACACATCATAATCACATTTTCTTTGATAAAATCAAAATAAACCATATAAATGTTTAAAAAAAATGAGATACAGGTGTAATAAATTACATCATACCACATCACCTTGGTAAATATTCTTGCCCTCAGAACCTCGCCGTTTCAGTGCGGCTTGTTAAACTTGCACAGAAGGTGTTATTGAATAAATCAGCAAGCCTTTTGCCAGGAGAAAGTACTACACAGGACACTGCTATCAGTGCTTAAGGCGTCTTTGAATAAAGTACACAAAGTCCAGGCTACATAATGCATTACGGTTGAAAACAACAAACTAAAGCAGAATTTATAGTGTGACTTTAAGGTCTGTGTGGAGGGCGAATAACTTTATGAGGTGTGATTGATGTGCAACAATAAACACAAAGTTGCACAAGACCAAGTGAGATGTGGTTATACTTTTTATTCCACTTTTTAAAAGATACGACAGTTTTAATGTGTTTAAATTCTATTGACATATTCCTGTATAAATATAACCAGAAACGATAACATGAACAATATTTATCTCTTCTGGAAATATTGGAGATGTTCCTCAATACTATTGCTTGACTTCACAACTGTCTTTATCTACTATCACATAGTATTATCTTAGTTTGGAGTTGCTCGAATATGAATTCTGGTTAACACAGGCACATACCAGCTGTCTTATTCAGTTTTATAGAGATCAGAATATTTACTTAATCTGGTTATGAGAGAATATGACCAAATTCTGATATAATAATAATATTCTTGCATGTATATGCAGTCTTTGAATTGTTGAGATGCTTTTATAATGTGCAATATTTGTACACTTATCCAACATATCTATGAAAAATAAACAATGAAAAAAACAATACAGTCAACAGTACTATTGCTCTTCAGCATCCAAATTGCTCTTATTTATAAGCTGAAGCAAAGATGTTATTCAGAATGCCAGATGGTTGACTCTGACTGTCACTGCATATCTGATGTCTTCACAATTCACACAACAGGAGACGTGATTATTCTCTGCACATTTAAGACAAAGTCTTAGTCTCTCTCTCTCTGTTGTGTATTCTTTTGTTAAGAGCTATAAAGAAAGCTAGTCTATTGAACTTCCCCATTGAAAAGAAGGACAACCTCTTGTACAGAATTCTGCAGGCCTTTGAAAACTTTGTGACCTGAATCTTTTCCCTGCATTATATTTGTCACTGTAAAAACTATACGCTTGCATTTTTCTCCAGTCGATGGATGTCAAAACAGGGCCAATGCATTATGCATATAGCATTACTGATTTAAAGTGTTTACTTGTCAGCTTGAGGAAATGCAAAAGTGTCAAGTCATGTGAATTCATACTCTTGTCACTCCTGCTTGTATTTCATGGCATTTCACATAAAAGGTTTTCAGGATCCACTTCACCAGTTTTACGGTAACAAAATGAACAGCATATAAAATTTATACCTGCTGGTTGATGGAAGGCAGCTAATGCTAAATATGCCTGAGTTGACCCTTAGAAACGGATGATCTATATTTCACTGTTTTAGACTAGCATGACAGTCCACTCGTATCCTACCACCACAAACTCTGCAATATGTGCAGTACATTTAGAATCGTACAAAGAAAATCTTATTTGTATGGTCTGACTGTCATGGCAATGGTTTGTTCACCATTGTAAACCTTTTTTTTTTTTTTTGGCACTGTAAGCAGAGTAGAGAATTTGACAGTCTCATTCCTCTTTCTCTTCCAGGTTTCACACCTCCGGGGATGGATAGGTCATCTCCAGATAACAGTCCAGTGCACGGCTTAGTGCGGCAGGCATCCGTCACCACGGGATCAAACATCCCGATCATAACTGAACTCGGTGAGACACGACTGCAGTCATACTGCTAACATGTCAAAGTCAAGTGAGATTAGAATCTAAACTCCCCTATCAAGTCACACTGATGTGTTTCTTGTGAAGTATGTGTCTGTGATGTGTGTAATGGCACACCTGAATATTTCACCGACTGGGTCAAAGTTGTGCCTTTAATGCACTGGAAGAAACCTAGACTTATAGGGAGAGAGAAAAAAGCATGTAGTAGCAAAATGGATTCATTTATAAATAACAATGAGGGTGGCACTATTCCCATGGTGGGGGGACTCATGAAAGTTTTAGATCTCAGAGGGCACTAAAGCACCAGAGACCGGCTGCTCCAACTCTCCACTGACCCAATTACACCAGAAAAGCTGTGAAAGAGAATGGGCCTTACAGACACTTAAAACTTCATTCAAAACACGCTCCTCACACATACACATATGTTCTGCTAAGACATACATTAGATCCAGAAGTCCTCCTCCCTGAGGGGTTACAAAGTCCTACATCTGGGACACACAGGGCCTGGTTTACTAAAGGTTTGCTGGCATTTTCATATTGTAGTATAATCATTAGAATTTTATATAAAGGCTCACCATGTCATGTGTCCTTAAAAACATTGACTAATACTTGACATTGACTAATCGAAAAACTAGAGTTTGACTTTGTGTTGAAAGGATATTTTCAGCCTCTTGACAGTGTCCTTCTGTAATTCAAGAAGCAAAAGCTGGATATTCAACCTAATAATACAAGAATTGTAGACATGCTAAAAGTGTAGTTAACATAAATTTCCACTTGTTTATCGTGATGTGAATTGGTTATTTCTTAAATCAATATTCACATGTTGTTTTCCTAAGCTACTCCGATAATCATGGCTAACAGGAAATCTGAAGTGCTCTCAAAATGAACTCAAAATGGAGAATAGTTATTCTTAAAGCACTAAAAGACCTAAACATTTAGCATTTACGGTAACACTTTATTTTAGTGTCATTTTTACATGTTACATGCCGTTTCTATAGTAATAACTATAAATAACTAACAAAATTACATGCAATTACTCTTAAACCAAACCAAACCTTAACCCTATAGTAAGTACATGCAGTTACTTAATATTACTCATTACTTAAATGTATAATTACAGTGTAACAACGGCACCTTAAAATAAAGTGTAACTGCATTTACATACTGACAGCAACGGAAGTAATGGAATAAAGTTTCCTTGTTACACGTCACATGTAGTTACAATAGTAAATACTATAAATTACATGTAACTAACTTTAAACCACACCTTAATTCTAAACCTAACCCTATAGTAAGTACATGTCTTTTATTAATACTCAGTATAATTTATAATTGCACTGTAACACAGACATCTTAAAATTAAGTTTAACCAATATCACATATAAATCCCATATTAAATTAAATCAAAATCAATGGATAATATTTACTACCATTCAAAAGTTGGGAGGTTAGTTTGATTTTTTTCTTCTTTTTTTTTGGAAAGAAATAATGATGCTGAAAATTCAGTGTTGCCATCACAGGAATAAATTACGTTTTGAAATATATTAAAAATTAAATTTTAAATTGTAATAATATTTAACAGTATTACTGCTTTTACTGTATTTTGATCAAATAAAAACAGCCTACAACACACACACACACACCCATATATATATATATTAGGGCTGTCAGTTAAACGCGTTATTAGCGGCGTTAACGCAAAGTCTTTTTGGCCTAGCAAACTTTGTAGTTTTTTTCACATGCTTTTGCAACAGGACGCGGCATGCGCGGGGCTGCGCTATGAAACCCATTCATTTCAATGGCTTGCGCTGCGCGAGGACGTTTTGTTGCTTCGTCGACCAAAGCGCAAGCGGATCTAGCTAGACCGGAAACAAAACAACAGGCACGCCGCACACACTTCTTTGGGATTGCGAGCCGGCCAAATAGTAGGTTAACGTTATGTTTTGAATGGATGACGAGCGCGAGACGCCGAAATGGATGCCAATAAGATTCTGAATGGAAAGTTTACTTTTAAAAAGTTGCCAAATGGTTCCATTGACGAGACCAAAGTGATCTGTGTGTTTTGTCGTTGTGAACTGAGCTATCATCATCGCAGCACGTCCAGTCTGAAATGCCACTTGATGGCCAAGCACACACACACACAGCTGATGCGAATTCTCCGCCCCCTCATCAATATCAGGACCACGTCAGTATTTCTTTCACCCTTTTATTGATGGACCGTGTTACATTGTGTGAGAGATTACTTGCTCCAAGTGAGAATGTTAGTGTGAAATTGAACACGGTATATGCCAATGTTGTTTCCAATAAAAAACATTTGCACAAAGCAAGCCGATCCACTTTTCCATGTTGATAAGAGCATTAAAATTAGAAAAAATAATGGGACAAAAAGAAATCAAGAGACATTTAGAATAGATAAAAATGTGCGATTAATTGCGATTAAATATTTTAATCGTTTGACAGCACTAATATATATATATATATATAAATGTCTATGTATACTATATATATATATATATATATATATATATATATTTTGTTTTTTTGTTATTTAATGTATTTTATATGTTGTGTAAAATGTGTGTCTTCTTGTCATCATTAAATTATAGTATAAATAAATATATGGGCCATCGGCCACTGTCTAGATGTCGGTATCACCATCAGCCATTTAAAGAACTCATATGGATCGTCGGTTCAGTGGATCAAACTGATACTGAGGTTTAGCTGTAATAATTTAACTAGAAGATCTTTGCAGTTTGAATTTTTTTGTGTGTAAAGGTAGCATAAAAGTCAGTTAAACATAATTCACAGTTACTTTTTGAAACACATCTTTATCAGCAGATTGCCAGCAAACCGGACATATTCAGTTCTGTACACAAGCGAATCATTGATCGTCAATGGAGCTCCTGGTAAATCAGGCCTGCAGTATCAGTGTTGGAATATGTGCGATTACACATTACACGTTTTTCTGTTCTAAATGGTTCATAGTAATCTTTCCCCTATTTGCAGTGCAGTAGATACCTAAGCTTGCACAACATCCCCGTTATCATGAACAAACACGGCTGAACTGTTCCATGGAGTTCTTACAGAAGCGATTCATCCTGACGCTGTACCTTTAGATTTCTAATCCCACTCTTGACATGATACTCTCTTTTATGCTTTCTTTTTCTCTGGCTTTGAACTTGTTTCAATAACTGTCTCCCCTCAACACTGTTTTATCATCATTAGCTAAGCCTGGCAAACTACTGCCTTTGGTTTCATTCAGTCAGGAAAAAAACAGTGGAACCAACATACAAATGATAACAGAACTGGGTAAGCTGCGCCTTTGTCCTCCGCTAGTCTGATGCACTGCCTCCTTCATCGGCTTGTCTTGATTTCTCTCACTGCAGCTGAGGCCTGCTCCCATGGCATCACTTTGAACACATTTTTATCCTTAGTTCTGGTTGAAATTGACTGTCTTGTTTTGGCCTTTTTAAGGATTTTTTTCTTTCTTTCTCAGAGCATCACTAGGCCTTTGATCATGCGAGTCTGTCCTTGTGGCTGTTTCCATAGCATCTCCCTGCAGTTCAATTCTCTGGCCCGGGCTCCTTTTCATCAGCGGCCTGTCTGAAAGACTGACATTTCTCTTCCTTAGCTCACAGGAAGTCTGGGAAGAAATCAAATTAGAAAAAAAAAAAACAAAAAAAAAACATCCAGATCAAACCTTGCTTTAAGCTGTTTATTTTTATTTATTTATTTTGGTGCTGGCCCTAATCTCTGAAGCATAGATTTTGAAAGGGGGTGAAACAAAGATTGTGTGAGGCTGTGTTCAAACCGAACGGGATTTCAGAGCATTGTCTCTATACATTGGCCGCTGAGACCATAAACAATAGCCTTAAAGCAATCTGGCTGCTTCTGCTGTCCAACCAAAGATACCAAGCTGGTTGTTTTATATAAGTGGACCTAAATTCTTGCAGTTTGTCTAATACAAGAGTTCTCTATTACTCTACAATGGCATTTTGGCAATTGTGCATCACTTAAAGTAATAGTTTACCCAAATAATTACAATTCTTTCATCATTTATAAACCCTCACGTTGTTCCAAACACGCATGACTTTCTTTTTTCCGGTGCAACACAAAAGCAGAAATTTTCCATGCAATTACAATGAATAGGGATTAAGGCTTTCAAGTTCCAAAAAGGATAAAGAAGTTTAATAAAGGTAGGGTCATAATACTTGTACACTACAGTATATTCCGCATCTTCTGAAGTCATACAATAGTTTTGTGTGAGAAACAGATTTAAATTTAAGTCATTATTTACCGATAATCTTCCCCTCTTGTGATCTGTTAACGGCTGTGACTAGATCATTGCATCAGATTCATGATCAAATCGTGCGGATCAGTTTTGAGAACTAGAACCAAACAACTCATTGACAAGATCTGACTCAAAAGAACGACCCATTTGTAGATCAAACAGCACGACTTCTCTCGTGAACTTGCCAAGTGTAATTGGGTTGGAAGATTTTTTTTGTGTGATTAATGATTTAAATTACAATATTTTTCATAATACACATTTGGAATGACATGAGAGTGAGTAATTGAAGACAGAATTTTTTTAGTTTTTTTAAAAGTTGGATTCCACCATTTTTGGGCACTGCATTGTCCAGATATCAATATTTCAATATATATGTATCTCCAGAATGCATGCCCACTGACGTGCATGAAATTCTTTTTTTTTTTATGTATTCATATTTTATTTGTATTCATGGACCCGTTTACCAATGGTTGGTGAGACACACCACTTCACCATTTGCAGGACATTGGTTGTCTCTTCTGCACAGATGTAAAACTTCTGTCTCTCTACTGCAGTAAATGACTCCAACGTTCAGTTTTTGGACCAAGATGATGATGACGACCCAGATACGGAGCTGTATCTGACCCAACCGTTTGCCTGTGGTACTGCCTTCGCCGTCAGCGTGTTGGACTCCCTGATGAGTGCGGTGAGTTAGTGGCTAAACAGCTGCCACGTTGACACCCATTTACTGATTTGAATTCCTTTAAACAGATTAACATACATAAATCCTTTAAAGAAATTATCCCTGCTGAATAAGTCGATTTAGATCCTTTAATCGTGTGAAGGATCCTTCATACTATCTACTAGGCGTCAGATGATCTTTCCGTTCGCATTCAAAAGCAGCCAGTGATTTGGTGAACAAAGCAACCTGTCAAAAGGTGCACAGTCATTTCTCTCCCATCATGGCATGTCATATAAAATTACATGAAGGCATGTCTCACTGCTAATCCTCTGAAATAATGTATAGGAAAGAGACATCCTCCGGCTGTGCAGTGCTTTAGATGTAGGGCTCAGACGTTACCAGTAGGCAGAGGTTGGTAAATGAAATGCCACATTGATCAGACAGCGCTGTCAGCAGCGGTGACATCAAAAGGAAAGTTGTTGCCAAGACTCCTCATATAATGTGTCATGAAATAAACTTTCAAGAGTCTTATTAGATCTTTTAACAAGGTAAGTGCTCAAGTTTTCTTTAATGGTATGCCTTGACACGCAAGGTGGGCTGCTTTGGGGTCCAAGAGCTCTAATCTCCTAACAATGTCATCTTGGGTAGATTAGGAAGAAACGATACCTTTTTTTCCATTCCCCCTCGTTCTCTCTTCTTCTTTGCAGCTTTTTCCCCCTCACCACCTACGACCGCAGCTATCCCCTTAGCCATATGATGGCTTAATTCCAGTAGCTTTCACTTTGAGTGAAGCTAGAACAAAGCAGCCTTCAAGTGCATTTCACTGTGGACAAAGGTGAAGCCTGCTAATAGACAGCTCTCATCCATCATTGGGCTGAATGCTGCTGTCAGGGGCCCAGAGAGGTGTCACTCTAGCGCGAGCTCACGGCGACACAGCCCTCTGGTGCTCAAACAAACGACCTCATGATCCTAGTAGAATCTTATATTTTTACACGTTAATCATTCGACAACTTTATCATCAGTGACACTGAAGAACATTTGATGGACAAGATACAGTGGGGTCCACAAGTCAGAGATCACTTCGGAAGTCTAATATACAAAATCTTATTTAAACCTGCAATCATTATCAAAAGTTGTAAAACATGTAAAACACACTACTGTCTAAAATTGTGGGGTCAGTGAGAATTAACACTTTTTTTCAGCAAGGACATATTAAAATGATCAAAAGTGACAGTAAAGATATTTACATGAAAGCTACAAAAGATCTAAATTTCAAATAAATGCTGGTCTTTTAAACTTTGTTCATTGAAAAAAATCTCTCATGGTTTCCACAAAAATATGTTGATAATTAGAAACGTTTCTTTAGCATCAAATCACCATATTAGAATGATTTCTGAATGATCATGTGACACTGTAGACTGGAGTAATGGCTGCTGAAAATTCAGCTTTATGAATAAATGACATTTTAAAATATTTTAAAATAGAAAGCATTTATTTTAAATTGTATTAATATTTCACAATATTACTGTTTTACTGTTTTTGGTCAAATTCTTTCAACTTCTTTTAAAAACATAAAAACTCTTGCCACCCCCAAACTGTAGTGTATAAATGAAATGAAGTGAATAATAAATATTTGTTGGTCACTAATCAAATTGTAACATTGGCCATGTTAACAAATGCCAGATATCATGAATCATCAGGTTTTCATTAAACATATGGGGCCTCATTTATAAAATGTTGCATAGAAACCGTCCTACATTTGATTTTGCGTTCATTTCTCAAATGTGCGTACGTGTGATTCAGAGAACGAACCTCTCTTCCAGATGTGAAATTTATAAATCGCAAATGATCTTGAAATTGTGCGCAGCTGAATGGATTCAGATCTCCAAATCTAACTATTCTCTCAAACTGTTAGAAAAATGCACCAGTGGTCTCAGACCTCTGGACTCCACTGTACAAGAGAAATGTCCATGACATTGTTGTGTTATCTATTCTTCATTGTATCTAATCTAAAATTAGCAACAATAATGATAATTAAAATGTCCTTGTGTGCAAAACGCTCCCCTGTTAAGCGTGGCTGGTGTTACCAAAATGAATATGCGTGGGGAGGAGACAACAACAACAACAACAACAACAACAGCTGGCGTAATTGCATTCCCGTGTCTCTTCCCTTCGCAGGGAGTGAAATGCGAAAAGACAGATCAGGGTCTAGATAACAGTGCTCAGGACAGCTCCAAATTCCTGACTGTCTTGAGTTGTGACTCTAATGGTGCTCACGTCCGGATCCTCTTCTTTATCTTGGCAGACATACTTCAATGATAATATCCTCACCCTGATCCGGACGCTGGTCACGGGAGGCGCCACTCCGGAGCTGGAGGGCCTGTTGGCTGAGGAGAACGCGCTGAGAGGTGGCTACAGCACGCCACAGACGCTGGCTAACAGGGACAGGTGTCGGGTCGCCCAGCTGGCCCTATACGATGGGCCCTTCGCAGACTTGGGGGTAAGTGGACGGTTAAGAGGAGCTGACAAGTTTTGGCACTTTGCCCAACAGGGCTCGTTCCCCGTCCGACGCCTCCCCTACCCGCTAATACAAAGTGAACGAGCTGAACACGCAAAGTCTGTGGGTGAAAAATAATGCTGCCTTAAATCATGATATTTCTGTATCCAAGTAAGAATGCCACACATTTCATTATAGCAGTGTAGACATTGTACTAGGATACACATGCTGAGAATGAGACAAACAACTCCTGCTCTTGCACTTGCTGAAGTTGCTTTTGTCATGCCTGAAATAAGCATAAGTTGATTTAAATGTTATGAATGAACGCTTAAAGCACTATTTTGTGTTCTTTTTTAGGATGGTGGTTGCTACGGAGACTTATTTTGTAAAGCATTAAAAACGTACAACATGCTGTGCTTTGGAATCTACAGATTGCGAGATGCACATTTAGGTGCACCAAGCCAGTGCACAAAAAGGTGAGCTGTCCATTTTACCTATTAACCTCGGTGTCAGTAGAGTTTTAGTCCTTTATTTCACTAGGCATGTAATCCAGCCTACATTATTCCTATAAACTCAGTTCCAGCACCTAGTGAGCTCCCTACCTAGGCAACATAGAGGAACACCTGACACAAATCTTCACAAGTTTATGCTTGCTTATAAGATACACTAATTATTTTAATTTTTTTAAAGAAATCAATGATTTTATTCAGCAAGGGCACATACAATTGTTCAATAGTGACAATAAAGACATTTACAATAGCCGCTTTTCCACCATCGGGCCAAACTGTTCTCATTGCTTAACCGTTCCAGTCCATGCGGATTCGGCCCAGCCATTATGGATATGGTTTCATTTTCCACTGTGGAGCTGATAACATTCATCTCATTCCTCAGTAAACTCTTCTGTTACAAAGAGCTCTAAGGCAACTGTGTTATGGAGGATGATCAGAAATGTATTTTATTAACCCAGCTACAGAGAATGTGGCAACGGCACTAAATGCATTCTACCAGCATAGTTCTGCATGGTTAGCCTACTGTGCCGAGAATTCTGAGAATGGTTTGTAATCGTGTCGTGCCGAACCAAGCTCAAGTGGAAATATAACCGTAACCTTTCCTTACTATTTTTAAAACCGTTCAGCCCGACGGTGGAAAAGCGGCTAATGTTACAAAAGATTCAGATAAAAATGCTGTTTTCTATTTATCAAAGAATCTCTCCAAAAAGTATCTCAGTTTCCACCTAAACATTAAGCAGCACAGCGGTTTTTAACATTGATAATAATAAGAAATGTTTCATAAGCACCTATATTAGAATGAAATCTGAAGGATCATGTGACACTGAAGACTGGAGTAATGATGCTGAAAATGCAGCTTTATCATCATCACAGGAATAAATTACATTATAGAATATATTCAAATAGTCTGATAGTATCTGATAGTCGTGAGGGTATATGCTCTTCTTTCTTTCTTTCTTTCTTTCTTTTCTTTCTTTCTTTCTTTCTTTCTTTCTTTCTTTCTTTCTTTCTTTCTTTCTTTCTTTCTTTCTTTCTCTTCCTTCCTTCTTCCTTCCTTCCTTCCTTCCTTCCTTCCTTCCTTCCTTCCTTCCTTCCTTCCTTCTTCCTTCCTTCCTTCCTTCCTTCCTTCCTTCCTTCCTTCCTTCCTTCCTTCCTTCCTTCCTTCCTCTTCTTCTTTCTTCTTTCTTTTCTTTCTTTTCTTTCTTTCTTTCCTTTCTTTCTTTCTTTCTTTTCTTTCTTTCTTTCTTTCTTTCTTTCTTTCTTTCTTTCTTTTCTTCTTTCTTTCTTTCTTTCTTTCCTTTATCCACACAAAGGTGGAGTAGAATACTTTTTTTTTTTAATACACACTTAACATTTAAACCTGTTTAATATTATTGTAAGTGCAAAAAGGCAAACATCATAAAATTAATTTCTAAAATTAATAAAGCTTTATTTCCTCCTACATGAGATCCCTTAACATAAGTGTCATTTTTCCATGTGCACAGATATGTCATCACAAACCCGCCTTATGAGTTTGAGCTGGTGCCCACGGACCTGATATTCTGTCTGATGCAGTTCGACCACAACGCGGGCCAGTCCCGAGCAAGCCTGTCCCACTCCTCCCATTCCTCTCATTCATCCAGCAAGAAGAGTTCGTCTGTTCACTCCATCCCCGCCACGAACCGACAGAACCGCAGCAGCAAAGCACGTGAAGCCCGTGACAAACAGAAGTAAGTTGGCCTTTATTTCTCTTTTTAACCCAGTAGTGTGTATGTGTGCGTTTGTTAACTTTTGTGGTTTTAGCACACTTCGTACAAAAAGGATGTGTGTGTGTGGGCGTGCGTGTGTGCATTTGTACCCAGCGTTTGTTGTTCTGTTTGTGAGTTTGCTTCATTGTAATGTGCATGTGGCCCTTGCCTTGACCACACACTGAGCTCTATGACCATTTGATCATCGCCACATCGCCAGGACCATGCCAGCATCAGTCTGCATATCGCTGCTGCAATTGTACAGACACAATCAACCTAATTTTGGAATGTTAACTATATGAATGAAATTTGCAGGTCCCATACAGACCTCTAGAAATGTTTAGTTAATATTCATTATTAAGCTTAATTGTGTATAGTTAATATGGATTATTTTGAGTGAGGAAACGGCTTCTGTTTGTCTAATCATTGTTGTGTGTTTGTGTGTGTGAGAACTGCAAATTGCATCATCATGTTTTTATTCTGTGTTAGTGGCTTATTTTTAGTTATGCTCTAGTGATTTTATTTTAATGTTCCAGGTAGGGTATAGAGCCATTATCATAGCATAAATAGTTTCACACCATCCCTACATGCCTTGCAGGTGCAGAAACCCTTATGGTGTGTATTTCTTGTGGCATTTTGGATCATTTAATTGTGGATCATTTAAAATGTACTGTTTTGAAATCTTTATCATCTACAAATACAGTCTTTGTGAAGCTGTTGTTGAGACTTATCTCTCACCAGAATGGAGGAGCTGCAAGGCATTATGGGATGCTGTAAAACCCTGCATTGATTTCAGTGCCTGTTACGATGCGTGCCTAAAAGTTGTAATTCAACAAGATTTAGAGTTTGTAATATATTCCCCCTTTGAGAGAAAAAAGTAGGTTATATTAGTTAATATTCGAGATTTGAGATGCAAATGTTGTCCTTTTAAAGAGTTTTACAGTACTATCTGGATACAATATGATTATTTTAGATTCATTGTTTTCTTTAATACTAGCTACAAAAATTAAGAAGTTTAAAAAAGTATTTTGAATAGTTTGTAAATCTTAACTAATGAATTTATATATTTTTAAGAATCATTCCCCATTAGTGTAAAATAAAGATGGTTATGATTTTTTTTACATTTAAAATGTTAACCAGACTAAAAATGTAGACATATGATGTCAGTTATTCTGTTACTTGCCTTAAACACTGTAAAACTTACATAGACCACTTTTTTTTCTAAAGTGCAACAAGGATGAATAGAATGGGCCCAGGTATGCAAGTTAATGATTCTGCATGATACAGCACCTGTTGTGGGATCTTTTAATCATAACTTTGTCCTTTGTGGAGCACTGTTATGAGAGGGGATTTTGATTTTACTTTCCAAGAAAATCATGCCTACTTTTCACCTTTGCTTTCTAACTGAAAGCAAATGGCTGCTGCTACTGCCTAACTCTTGTCATGCTCAGGACCATCCCAGCATTGCATGCGGTTGACTATCATCCTCTCTCTATACCTCCGTCCATCTGATAGGTTCCAGTGATCTCTCTCAGTAGTCCCCTTGACTTATTTCAGTTCCTCTTGTTCATTTACCTCTCATTAGGTTTTCTTTCTTTCTTTCTCTAAGACAAACTGCATTGTGTGAGAGGTCAGTGTGTCTGCACATTGTTTCTGCAGGTAGTTAATCAAAATGTATTTGTTTGTTACGTCATCCAATTCAAAAAATTTATTTGTAAAATACACATATAATATAATCTGAATCATTTTCAAAGCCGTTCAATTAAATCCTATAATGAACTGATTAATAATAGTTACAAACAAAGCTGAATATATGTCAATATAACTAGTTAAATCTGAACTTTTATTAAATGTAAAATTCAAAATCATTGCAAAGATTCACAAAATAAACATGTATTTTATTTCATATTTGTTAAAAATGCATTATCTATTGATAGTGCCGACAGTAGATATTTCTTTTGAAAGTTTCTTTGAAATTTGAATAAATATTGTGTAAAATACATGTTCATTTCAAATAATTTTCTATCATTAAATGTATATAGATTCTTTCTTTTTTTAAACAATTTAATCTGCCATCTCCAGATATTGGTTGATTAACCTGTCTTGACAATATTACTAATTGTTGACGCATTGGTGGCTTTTGTCATATTTGCAGCTTTGCTACATTCCTAATAACATCTTTTAATGGTGAGTAAGATTACTATACTGTACAACCTCAAAAACATAGATTTGGTCCATTAAAAGTTCCCCCCTCAAACCAGTCGAAAGTGGTTTCACGTTCCGCTCTCGGTCTAAATTCACCTCAAATATCCGTGTGAGAGGGGAACCATGATGAGAGTCCCTGTGCTGCTGAAATTGGCTCTTTTAACCCTTGCGGAGCCACAGGATGTCTCGAGGCGATGTAAGTTCCAGCATCAGTAGTAAACTCAGGGGAACGGAGTGAGGTGGCTGACTCCTTGCACCACCTCAGGCACAGCTCCACTTACATCAAACGACTTCGCCGTGACACTCTTCCCCCCGTGGCCCGTCGCAGCCTGACACTCCAAGGTGTGCAGCACATTTCAAGTTGGAGGAATAGTTGGAAATGTTGGAGTGCTGGGAAATGACACCGCCTAGGAGAATGTGAATATGATGAGGACAGATGCTGGCCCTGCGCGTGGCTTAAGTCCGTGTAGAAAACATTTCAGAATAAAACACCTAATTTCAAAGACCAGATCACGTGAAAACTGGTACGTGGTACACGTCTTGATAGAGTCCTTCCTTTTGGCTACAATACACCCTTGTTTGAGGGCTGTAAATGCTTTTACATACCGTACATTTTGCTGCCTGATGAAATCGGTAATAGGTCCAACAATGTGTTTCACCCTGTGTCTTTCTGAATGTGAATTAAAGTTCATGTATAGAGAGAGAAAGAGAGCGTGGTATTCTTTTTTTTTCCTTTTTCTTTTTAAAAGAGAGATGCATGACCCTGCTTTAAAGATCTGATATTAACACTGTTTCTCTCGCCTTCTGCTTCTCTCCCGCCCGGCTGTCTCACAGAAAAGAGATGGTTTACAGATGAAGCAGAAAATGCATACCCAAGGAACATTCAAATCAAGCCCATGAGCACTCACATGGCCAACCAAGTCAATCAGTACAAATCCACTAGCAGTCTGATTCCACCTATTCGAGAAGTTGAAGATGAATGCTGAATGAATCCCCGGCCTTTACCATCACAGAGGGACTTGGGTCATCCTGGTGTAAAAGATGAGCGCTAATCGCGAAACGATGACTGTTGATGATGGAGACACATTGTCCTTCCCTTGTTCGACTCAAGGGTCTGAAGCGATCGAGAACTGGAAAGGACTTCCTATGTGTATACCTTTAATGTTACTTCCATACTTTTATAAATGTATACATAGTGATGTACATAATGACAATCAAGTAAGGATTGTATAGCCCCCTAGCACTTTTTGAAATTATGTTAACAGGCAAACAAAAGAAGAAAACAAATAGTACTTCCTGTGATTCTTTGCAATATCTCACCTCTGCCGTGACCTGACTCCATGCAGAGGGTGCTATAATGGAGGATGAGGGTCACTGTCGTTCACTTCATCCAAACACTACCCAAAGATTAGCCCCGCCGATTGAGTTGCGTATCTGTCGTCCATTTCATTTTGCACTACCGCGTAATAACTCGAGCACTGCTCACAGAAGAGTCAAAGCTTACCCTCGGTTCTCCTCTGAGTTTGGGCTGAAGTCACAGGCTGAGGCTGTTAAACGAATGGCTTTGTTCAAGGAAACGGGTGTTTGCGTGACTGTATTCATGCATGGTGTGTGCCGAAAGCTGCCTGAACGTTTGGCTCAGGAAAGGATGCCCATTTGCATCCCTACAGACTTAGGCACGTATACAGATGGAAACGTTTGCTGTACCTAATGCAAATGGTCGTCCCCCACGTAGCTCTTCGGAATTGGCAATACATTGAGGATATGCACTACTTCTGTTGATGTCTTTCCATCATACATGACTGTTGATGTGGGAAACTGTCTGTGATCGAGGCTTCTAACATGTTTGTTTGCGTCTGCGGCTCTGCTATTAATACAACTGAATGAAACACTACTGTCACCTGCTGATAATTCAACAATGATTGAGCTTTTACGTTGAAATAAAAAATATACAATTGAAAATGCCACATATTGCGAAAAGTGGGCATCATTGGTTCCTCCTTTGGGTGTAGCCACTGCCTGACACAGGGTTGGCACAGGGGCTGAGAAGTGCTTGGATGTTCCCTGTGACCAACTGTGATGCCTTAAACTCTAGACCGAATGCATAAGCTCAATCATAATGTTCAATTATCAGTCAGAGTTGTAACTTGTGGATGATTCTTGCTGTGGACTGAATGCATTTGAACGTCACTCACTTCTATCAAGGCTACACAAATAAGTTGTACCTTTAAAGTAGAACGTATACTGATACATATGCTTCACAGACCTTTGAACTTTGCTTCAAGTGCTCTGTCAGATTTATACATAAGTACATACTTATTTTTTATCCATGAGCGTAATCATTTTGTACTTATTTTTATACATATCAGAGAACTTTATTTCTAAATGTATCTTAAAGATATCGTAATAGCTACAGTGCACAGCAGTTCAGTTTTACCCCTGACAACACAACATATCACATACCATCAACTGGGACACGTCAAACATCTGTGAACCCGAGTCAAACCGGTTCAATTTCAGCCTTCCATCTGGAGTGCTCTTTGATACTCACATGGGCTGCTTTGAAGGACTTTGAGCTCTACTACTAAAACAGCATATATGCTTTCATTTTCATAAGCTAACAGAGATGAAAACCCATATTGAATGACTGATGGCACTTTTCTGTAATTCCAGGTAAAGTGATGTTGATCCTCAGACAGACATGAACTCAGAGATGTGCATGAGGAGGGGCTCTGCTCTTTCTGTAATGAGGGTAGAGTTATAGTGATATTAGCCATGTTTGACCTAAATTAGGTCTCGGTAAAGAGAAGAGCATGCTGATGTACTTGTGCAAACGTAATTTGATCAGATCAGCAGTGAGCTAATAGCCATATGATTGTAGATGCAAGAAAAGAGACATTAGCACATGTCCATCCATTGAGCAAAAGAATATAAATCTGGTGTATAAATTCTGCCCGTTCTAGTCCACATTTATTTTCTCAAGTAAAAGGATCTCAGCTTTATTGTTTGTCTATTGGACAATTAGGCTTGGTCCTGAAGTGATTTTCTGAATTGTGATTACATTGGTGTTACACTTTGTAGCAAGTAGATTTCTTAATAAATGAATAAAAAAAGAATAATACTAATGTGAGTAAACTGTATGCATAATTGGATTGTCAACATACTTGCTAGCCTGAAAAAAAAAGAGGAATCCATTGGAGTTAAATGTCCAATTTAAAAAAAAAATGTTCTTCTTCTATGTAAGGTCCTTTTCCTGTAATGAAACTACAAAGGCAGATGGCGCAGTGAAGACAGCAGGTTTCATTTGATGAGAAAAGTGTAGATGCACGTTGAGGGAAGCGGAAAGCAAACTAGCTCTTTCTTCGTGAGGATTATTAACCATCAGGTTTTAACATTCCATTTTGTCATCAGCATTTCAATCCATTACAATCACATACCCGGCTGTTTGTTTACAGACCTTTTTCTTTCTTTCAACACACATACTCAGGTAGCAATCCTGATGACAAAGCTACAAAATAAAGCTGGCTTACATTTTCTTGTGTTACCTTTTGTAGTATGAGGTGATACTGATATTTTCTTCTCCACTGCAACAAATGTGCAATGTTTTAGTATCATGCAATTTATTTGTACATCTTGTGAAGATACTACAGTGTACACATATCTCAGTTTCTACAGTGCCATGAAATGTATCTGTCTACCAGCATCAGTCAGTCATTGGTTTGTAACAGTGGATGAACATTGTGGCATCTAATACTGGCATGGAGAACATCCAAGCCATCCTTGCCTCCATGCCAGGACAGTGCCAGGCAGTGCAGGAAAAAACCAAAGGAGGAACGCTGTAAGACCCACTAGAGCGAAAAGTGGCATTCAAACAGGCATATGTGTCTATACAAGCTGCTGAAATCCTAGCACCTTGGTTATTGATACTGTAAAAGTCAAAAAAGGGGACAGCAATGGCTGAAGGATGCTGGGTAGAACTGACTATAATGTTTAGTTCGATCACCTGTCATTGTATTCAAGAGTGTTTTAATTAAAGTAACATATAAAGCAACCTTACTGATGTGCTATGTAATACACAACTGTCATATTTTGGCGATTTTATTCTACTGTAAAGGACAGATTTAAGTTTTAGAAACTGTATAAAGAAAATACACTGTAACAGAATAAATACTTGGAGGGGAATTAAGTCTTAACATGCTGAACTTGCATATGGATTACTGTTTTGTTGCTGTCTTTTCTTCCACTTCAATAAATAATCAAAACATCCATATATACATGTAATTATTGGCATATTCATTACAGGATTAAGGAGTTTCTCATAGCAGAATATGACTGATTTGACTACCAGACGTGAAGAAATTGATGGTGCTGAAGCTGATCTATACCTGACTGTCAAATATAACCTGCTGATAAACATACTGTCTTGTACAAAAAGTTTGTACATAAATTGTACATGGTTTCTTTTTGTATTTTCTCAATTAAAATTGATGTATTTGTGTTCTACAGGTGACTGGTATATTGCGTCATTACTTGATTTACGCTCGAAATTAGGCAATCCATCATTGACAAATGGACATTACAGTCCAAAAATATGTAGTGGTGTAGGAAACGGGGTGTACTGGATGCAGAGAACACACCTTTTCCCAAACATCTGCTAACATTTAAAAAAAAAAAGTGCTTACATGATGGATAACCCCTCTCACAATTTAATCACTGCACGTATCGCCTACATAAGAACGTGAGGATTTCAATTCCAAGTCATTTTATATCTACAAAGACACACTTTTATAGTTACAAAACGTGTGCCCCTCAATCTATGATTATGAAAAAACTATGAGTGTTATTAAACCTTTTATTAGTCTGATCTTACGTGCCTTGTCTTTTCAAAACTAAAGATTTGAGCTCGACCCGTGCACCAAGCCAAAATAAAGAGGAGGAAGCAGAACAGATGTTGGCTGCGCTCCTGATTTGTAGGCTGATAAGGGTGGCACCCTGTAGGTTTAAATTTATGGCTTGTTAGTAAGGACTGGCCCCTTTGTGAGATGTTTTCAAAATGATTGATTTACAATAAAGTGGCTCCCTGTGTGTGCACGCAAGCTGAACTGATTCAGATCGATTCGAGTGAAATTGATTGATCAGCCATTTAACTTGGCAGTATGTTTACTGAACGAAACCATGCAAGACTTATTCTCCCAGTCTCTTACAATAAAACAGAAACAAGCCACATATCGCAACCAAAACTATACTGCTTCTAACCACTTTCTATTTTGTTTATCTAAAATATATTAATAAATGGCAATAAAATAATCAGCTCCCACTTGGGTACAAACATACAGTACTTAGTGTTATTTGCGCTTATGCATAAAGTGGGTCCAAAATGTCTGACCTGGGTTTGTTGTATACTAGCCTACTGCATTAACAGCTGTACTTTTTTTTAAGCATTACAAACCAACAGTAAGGACCAATGATTTGTAATACAGAAGCTTGTTCCTGTCCGTTTGACCTCTCTCCATCTCCCTTGCCTGCTCCCAAGCCCTCATCTCTTTGCCGAGACAAAGCACTCTTCTTTTCAGCTCACAAATCATCCCGCCATGGACACTTCATGCTGTCCTTTGGATAATTGTGGATGAAAACAGCCCCCTACAATCTCACCTTGGGATGTAGTGGCCCCATCATGCTGCTTATTAACGATTTTACACGGTGAGTCACGGCTCCAGGCCTGTCAGTACGCCAGTAATATTTACTGTCTGACACATGGGCTGTGGGGGGAGATTGGGAAGGAGGCGGAGGGGTGGAGGGCGGACGGGCTGATTACACTCATCCACCTAACAGCATCCTCATCCCTGAATCCTTCCCCAAATATACTCATAAGAACATCTCGGGTGCCACCGTAAGGCTGCTTATTACGAATTAAAGCATAACGCACACGACGTTATTGAAATGCAGAGAGGTGGTCGGAGGTTCATCTCATCAGGGCTGAAGCTTCAACAATCAAAGGCGACGGGGTCGGGCGTAGGTGGGTGTTTTCCCACATGAATACATTCGAGTGGCCATTATGGGCCATTTAGCAAATCAATAGGTGCTAAAATCAAAAACAATTTTCTGGGTGGATTGTCAGTGGAGTAAATGAAAGTGAGAAATGTCTAATATTGAACACTTAACAATCAATGTGTTGCACACTTGATGGGGTTTGTTTTCAACATGACAATTTTTTTTCTTCTAGCGAGAATCCCACTATTATTCGTCAAAGTCACCCCTCGGATCGGATATTGACTCAAAACGCCGTCTCTCCAGGAGTCCTTCGCGTGTCTCGGACAGACAGCAGTCAGAGGAGGAGTAGCTATCACCGTGGCAACACACCCCCATCCACGGCGACCCCCCTCGAGTCACATTCGACATCATCTTTAGGAGCCCTCCAAGGCCCCGGCTTGGCCGTGATAATAGTTTCCATGACGATGCAGCATGCTCAGTGCATCAGTGCCAGCTCAGATAAACAGTGATCCTTTACAAAAACAAGAAGGTCATTACGGCAGCTTGTCAAATCAATGCTGAGAGTGTCCCGGCTGATTAAGCCATCCTCTCTCAGCTCTGACACCGTGTCAATAGTGCCGCGCCGTCTGAGCACGGCCAGATGATTGGAGTGAAATGCCCATCAGTCAGAGAGCTGAGCCGGACTAATGATTCCCTGTGCTGCCTATTAGAGCTACATGACAACTCAATCCTGCACTAGAGAGAGAGAGAGAGAGAGAAGAGCGAAAGGAAAACAGTGACCTTGTTGCATTATTTGAAGCTGAATTAAATTGGCAGCAGCAGTTAATCTTTACCTGAGGCGATTAACAGAATTTAAGAGGAACAACAAAAGCACGGCGCATTTGCCATTTTGGCTTTCTCTTACTGACATTTTGATTTCCTTCTCCATCCATTCTTCTGGAAGATGATGATGATTTATCATTAAGGGAACAGGAGAGAGGGGAGGATCCTCTACATCATAAATCGCTAGCATAAAATATGCTCTCGGTTCGCTCTTTTAATTTGTTTTAGCGTGCGTCTCTCCCTGGCCCTGTGGTGAGATTTGTGTAAGCCTCATCCAATTGACTTATCCATTTTGTCAGCTGGGATTCATCCCCCTGTGCCCTGCTGGTTACTGCAATGCTGAGCTGGTGGAGTCGACTGGTGGTCTGTGCAAATGTGTGCGATCAGATAGCTGAAATCGCACGGCATTAAGCTCTCTCGCTTGGGAGCTACCTAATTGCTTAGTGTTAATAGAGCGCACTTATACTCACTTATCTTGATTTACTTTTTATCAGACAAGAAGACTGAGATTGAGCATGCACACAAAAGTCAATGATCTCCCGAATTATTGAAAAAGAAGTCTCGAAGAACAATTATCTCACTTCAGGCACACATTTTCTGCTGAAGTGGTATATTTTACCAGTCTGTTCTTAAATATGGGTCGTTAGCACAAAGTATAACACGTCAACTTTCCAACAGTATTCCATTTTCAACAGTATGTTGGTCCTTATTTTATAATTAATAAGCATAAATAAATATGACCTCATATTAAATGACATACTACATGGAAGTATTAAAGGTACGGTAGGCAATTTTCGGAGAGGCTGCAACAGCGAGCTAGCTTTGAAAGCATAAGATCAGAGCGTCTCCAAAGCCACGCCTCCTTCAAAACACATGAGCGCGTACAGCAGGGAGCAAACAAAAGCATCACGAGAGACGGCGTTAAACTACCTCATGTCTCAAAGCACATAACATTACAATAATAATGAACGTAAACAACTTAAAGTGCTCTAACTGTACCACCTGACTGCTGCAGATTCATTTCGGCGTTGATAGTGTTGCCATTGAAACACATAAATTCGAGTCAAGAACCGCTCCGAGTATAACGTCACAAGTTTTGGTACATTTGTATAAATAGACGGAATTTTTAGTTGACATATGTAATCATTTTAATTACTTCAATAGATTAATTTGTCACAAATGTATACATATGACAAAAAAAAATTGGAAAACAACAACACAAATATTCTTTTGTTGTTGAAATGTAATGTTTTAACATTGATTCAGTATGAGATGAAAATGGCATTATTTGGGATTTACCTGTCAATGGAACTAATAAAACAACATGTTACAGGTCATGGCCAAACATCCACATGCTTGAGAGTTTTCACATGAAATTACACTCAGAAGTTATTATGCTCAAAACAAATTAATGTTGATGAAGGGTATAAATAAAGCCATGCCTTTATTTATACACGCCTGGCCTATCATTTGCTAATATTACAAGATTTCTCTCAGCATGAAGACTGGGAGGAAAATCATGACTAATTTAACATGACATCAAAAATCGCCTCTCCTCTCAACAAATGTTTGTTGGCAATGGTCAATCAAGCTCTTTCTCCACATGCATTAGTCTGCCTGTCTACATGTGAAACCACAGCGAGAAAACAAATCCACAGGGAGTAATGTAATTGTCTTGTAGAGCAAGCTTTCCTGAACACAAAACACAATCTGAAGAGAAAATGTGTAAGCCGTGTGTGTGCTTCCAATTCTCTCCCTACCAGCGCTGTGTCATTAATAATATGTTATTGAGAAAACACAAACACACACACTTCAGCATGAATAGAAACCCATTATCTTGATTTCTCTCTGCAGCTTCACCCTGTAACGTGTGAGATTTACAACAATATTAATTGTCACTGCATGCATGAAGATAAATGAGAGGAAATATCATGTCATAAGTAGTTAAACATGAGTAAAGAAAAAGAAAATGAAAGTCTGTATTGTGAACATCAAAATTACTCTACCATAAAATTAAAGTCAGTTCACCTTTACAGTGTTGACAGATGGGATGACTTTGAGCTGTCTCCATGTCCATATGTCTTAACAAGTGAAAATGCCTTATTTTTCTACACTATTAGCTGCCCCACAAAAACAAAAACAAAACGATTGTTGTTAAGATTTTTTTATTTTAAATGATCAACAAAAGATGGAACAAAAGATAGCTTGAAATTATATTATATAAAACTAGTGCAATGCCCGTGCAAAATCAGTTTTTGTGTGTTTTTAGTAATTGTTGGTTTGGTGTGTTTGATTTGCTTAATAGCCTTGGCTACTATTACACAGGAGCCTAAACTCTGAGAAAACGCCAACGTTAAACGCACCAGAATAAAATATAATATTCAGAATTAAACAGTGTAGCTGACTTACAAAATCACTACTTTTTCAAAAATGAATCGCTACTTTTTCAAAAATAAA